TCATTGGGACTCAGATCAGGCTTTTCCTATGGAAACACTGTGATAGAGACCCCTAAATCCTAGTTGCTGAATATGGGCTAACTGCAATCAGAAGAATGAACTAGATGATCAACAAACAAAATACCGCAGGCACCAAATGGGATGGAAAAGGAAGTACAGATTAACAGTTCAGCAACTGGTCTACTGCCTTAGTTAAACTAGATTCCTAGTCATCCTCAGGATTTAAAAAGTATTTACTATAAAGAGGTTAAGTGTTTTCTAGGATAGACCCTTCCTGCAGAATGAACCATAAGGTTTCCTCACCTAAAATAGAATTTAAAATTTAGTCCTCTGTAGAATTTTTGTACCCAGCACAGTTTGAGCCAAACATTTTGGTAATATTTTTTGTATGACAAATATAGAGTATGGACTGTTTTCTGTTGTGTTGCTGTCTGTATCCCAAACTACCACTTCTTATTATTATCTGTTGGTTTTTTTTTTTTAATGTTATATATGAACAGGTGTGTATCATAAAGGCCATTTTCTTCCCCACTGTGTAAGCAACAGAAGGATCAGGCCCTTATGGAGAAAACTAAGCGCCCACTGGCTACATTCTAAAATAATATTAATTTGATGTGATTCCCTTGTATGCAGCTCAGCAGAGATGCCACATTTAAATAGGCTTCAGAAATGGCTCACAATTGCTTATATCAGCCAATGGTAGTTACTATAGGGCCGGCTGAGCAACACACCAGGGGTGTGTCCAGACGAGCCTGCACATGCCTCTTGCCACATCTCAAAGCAGTTTGAGATGTGGCAAGAGGCATGCTGGGAACAAAAAAACATTCCCCGCACTGCATATTTGCAACGCAGACTCAAAAGTTCATACCTGGATATCCGGTAGGCCTGTGCAAAGTGGCAAGTATTCGTTTTGGATTCAGATTCAGCTGATTCGGAGGACGGTGATTCGATTCAGAGATTTGAACCACTGTCCCAATTTGATTTGACCGAATCAGATCTGAAATATTTGATACCACTTTGGAGACTCAGCCATAGACTAAACAGGCAGCTGACATAGGTACCTCCAGCTTGTAAGTCTGTTGGGGTTGGGGGAGGGAAGAGATAAGGGGCATGGGGAAGGGAGGGATTGGGGCTGGGAAAAGCTGCCCAGCTGGAGCGGAGTCTCTGCCCTGCTGCTGCTTGCCCTGCACGCTCCAGGCCGAA